AAAAAAAAAAAAAAAAAAGTATTCAACACAAAAATTTAGCCCTTGTCTCGTGACTCTAATGTGAATTTGTAACACATCTGACAAAGCTCCACACTATTTTTACCAATGGGAGAAAAACCACTCCTGAGATTTTTACCCATTTATCTTGCTCCCTGATGGTCAGGGTATCAGTTCCAGGCACCGGTGGCCGCGTCAGAAGCATCTCACTCAGTGCACATGCGCACATGCAACCTTCTACCATTTACAGAAACCTCTGAGATTTGTCAAGACTTTCCTGACCTGCATGCATCAAGTGTCAAAATGAAACCTTCAATGGTATAAGGAGAAATAAGACTTGACTACAATCATTTAATAGAAATTGATAAAATGAATCAAATATAGCTCCTTTTGTTCATGAAATGCATGACTTCCCCACATCTCATTTTGTGAAATAGTCATCTAAAATGTTCTGCAAGCTTCTTGTAAGTCAAACGTATATAGCCAAGAAATACTAAGCTCACTTACTGATTGCTCAATACTTTAAAAATTCATTCAAGATAGACAAATTACCAATTAGATGTGCGCAATTAGCTTTCCTGGGTTTCTAAAATAAGAATATGCTCTTAAAGAATAAAAAATGACACGAGAAGAGAAAAAAAAGTCACTGTACTTTGTCTGAAGAAGAATCTCCAGCCTGGAGACAGGAGAGGCTCCTTCCAGTGTCTGCCTGTGGTCTGACCCAAGACCCGCTCCCAAGGAATGGAGGAGGTCAGGAAGGCGTGCAGGAAGCACCAGAGCAGGGAAGGACGCTGGGAAGGAGCACACGCACACCTCCAGGACCTTCGTGATACACTGAAGAGTAGAGGAAATGTGTACACACCCTGTACACGAGCACACGCACACGCACACCTCCAGGACCTTCGTGATATGCTATGGAATAAAGGAAATGTGGTACATACACATTCTACACACGTGCACATGCATGCACCCACATAAAGACGGGGAACAGGAACATGTGCATATAAATGAGGTCCCTGAACAAAACAGACCAGTGTCTTGGTCCATTTCTGCTGCTCTAATGAAATGTCATAATCGGGGTAGCTTATAACCACAGAAATCTATTTCTCACGGTTCTGGGGGCTGGGTGGTATCTGCTGAAGACCCCCTCCTGGTTCGAAGACAGCACCTCCTGGCCATGCTCTCACAAGCAGAGGGGCAAGGCAGCTGTCTGGGTCTCTCTCAAAAGGGCACTAATGACATCTGGTCACCTCCCAAAGGCCCCATTCTCCTCATACCATCGTAGTGGTGAACAGGTTTTCAACATATAAATTTTGGGGGCTACAAACATTCAGACCATAGCAACCAGTAATGAGATTTCTTTTTCTGCTCCTTGGCCGGTCAACTTTAATTCTTTCCCCTTTCTAATTTTTAAGTAATATTTTGTCTGCAATCCTTCTGCTTCACTTCCACTTTGTTGAAAAATATCTGTGATTTCTCTATTAGGTTGGTGCAAAAGTAATTGCGGTTTTAGCATTGTTGACATTTGATATCATGATGCATAGCCAAATATCCTCTTTAATTCAAACAATGAAGAAAGCTTTATAAACCTTTTCCATATTATTTCTGGAAGGCTACTATGAGATGGAAGTTACATATATAACAATGTTTCTGGAAAATTATTTTGGCTATCTTTTTAAAAATATTTCTTGCTATAAAAACAAATGTCAATGCAGTTTAACTTGTTTTTGTGATAAACACTAGGTTTGAGTCTGTCACTGACAGAATAAGGAAACATTCCCTGAAGTCACTTTTCTCAACCTCTCTCTCAATACAATTCCATTTATTTAAAAAAACATTTGCAGTGCTCAGATCCATATTTGGTAAATTACAGGCGTATGTGATGGAAAATCGTAGTGACACGAGAGAATTTAATGTATATGAACATGGAATAGCGAAATTTTAGAAACATGTGTTCTCTGAAACAATCACATGGCCACTAAAAATAAGCCCTAGAACTCAGCCTCCTCCTCAACTGTCCAGAGCACCACCTGACAGATGTTCCTGACCTTCTCCAGACGCTAAGAACTCGCAGGAAGAAAGGCTGCTCTCTTTCGATTTACTTCAGCTAATTTTTAGGTGGGCTTTGTTCTTCCTTCCCTCTCATTGTGTTTTAAGGACAATGTAACTTAGTTTCTCCAGTTAAGGTAACTCTCCTTTGTGCTCACTCCAGTCCCACAGCTCATCCGAGGGAGTGTCGGCAGTGGGGAGAAGATGAGAGCTGAGACAAGCAGAACCTGATCTTGTCCAACTCCAGGGACTGGACTCTGACCACAGCCACCCTGTGTCTCCTCCTCCTGCCTGTCGCTGTGATCTCGGGCAGGTGGGAGGAGGAGGGAGCAGAGCAACGCAGCAAGTGGGTCCAGGGCACATCTGCTATAGCGTCGCCTCTTCCCTTAGCTTGGGACCGCATGAGGCAGACACACCCATCCTGGGCCAAGGGTTTAAATGAAAATCAGTATGTGGAAAAAAGATGCTTCCACAAGTGACCCATTCTCAAGCTTACATCACGCAACGAGGAGACAAGCAGTTCACTTAAACCAAGGCTATCTGTACCTGGGACAGTCATCTGCAGGGGCCTCACGAGGTCCGGGTGCTTCAGTGGGTTCCCAGGGTACACAAACCACTCCTTGACCGCCGGGCAGCTGCTGACGCCATCTGAAGAAAGACAGCATAGTCAGTAGAGGCATGAGAGGATGTGTCCCCAGGCCCAACTCTGCACGAGCACAGTGAGCTCCCACATCCAAGGTGACTGAGCGGGACCTTGGATTCCTACCCACCCTGCAAGCTGAGGGTAAACCATTCATTACAGCAAGAACATAACCTCCAGAGCTGACAAAAACCTCGCGATGATCTGCTGGAGGGGAAACTCTTCTATAAAAGAGTTGAGAAATGAAGCAGTGAAATGTTCCCACAGTGCAGAACAAAAAGACAAAAACAGAAAAAGAGGAAAAAATATAGAATATCAATCTAGTAAGTCCAACAGGACTCTCACAGCAGTTCTACAATAGGAAACAGAAGAGGAGATTTTCTCAACACAGAGGGTAAAGAGAACATCTCAAATCCTTCCATGAGAAAAAGAGTTACCAAAAAAGAGATCATCAGCACCTCTGAACTCAGAGGATGGGGATAGGCATGGGGCGCAGAGCCTTGACTAGGGACAGGGGTGGGTGTTGGGGACAGAGCTATGATCAGGGACAGAGGTGGGTGTAAGGGCCAGAGCCATTACCAGGGACGGGGGTAGGTGTAAGAGGGGGGCAGAG